AAAAGGCAAGGAAAATCTAGTTCTTGGTTGAGTCTTGAGTTATTACAGCAGCTTAGGGATCAATGTAACATATTTCTAACTTATCTATACCACTTGTATCGCTACCCATTAGATAGGTATCGATACCAGAGTTAAATTACAAATTCTAGTAGCCAAATCTAGTATCGGTACTTGGGGAGTATCGATAACAATCAAGGCAGAAATATCGATATCCTAAGTAAGGGTGTTGATGTTGAATTGTTTTTCCATATATCGAACCCAATTTTGGTATCGATAATTAAGGAGGTATTTGTATCCTAGTAGAGAAGTACTAATACTACAAATAGAGGTATTGATACAACCAAGCTTTCTCGGATTCAGGTAAGCAATTTTGGTATCGATACCAAGAATGGGTACCTATACCGAAAGGTCAGTATTGATACTAAATGGCTTAGTATCAATACCATTATCCTGAATTGGACAAGAAGTTCAACTTTGATCCAAGGGTTTGGGAAGGGTTATAGAATCACCATAACTTAAATTAACCAAAAATTGAGAACAACTAATGAATAAAACAAGTGCTAAGAATGATATGAAATAATAATGTCATAAAAATAGCCATTGTGATATGCTCGGGAAACAACAAGGATGATTGGCTAATAGTACGACGATTGTCTTGTATGATTATAATATTCAGATATGTCTAAGTTACTGTCAAGGCGCTTCAGTTACTGATCGGGTGCAAATGCCCCAAGTACTCACGAGTAGTAAGTTGGTCGGGTGTATGTTTTCGATGCAGAAATTATGGATATCACTCTAAGTACCCAAGGGTACTATAGGTAGGATATAGGGGTATGTGTCTCGAGATGAAATGAACCCTCAGACCACAACATGATTCCTACCCCCAACATGTGTGTTTAGCATACTTGTATGTTTATGTCTTTACTACTAGCATGACCATATGATGAACTCGTGCAGTATAGTGCAGTTATTACTGTTTCACTGAGCTTGTGACCTCAATGTTCAGAATTTGTTTCCGTGCGTAGGTTCTTAGGAGGAGCATCGAGGAGCTTATCACAGCGTGCATTCCATGTCTTTTTAGAGGGCATGTATTATTCATAAATCTTCATGTATTTGAGTCGTAACTCTATTTTTGGAAAGATTTGATATGTACTATTTTGATATGAATTGGGAGTTCCCCAATTTTTTTAAACTGAATTACTTATGTCTTTTATCTATGTTTTCAAATATGATGGCTAAATGAATTTCGGTATTGTCTAAATAAATTTTTGGGTTAATCATTTCGGTGGTCCCATGTAATGTTGTATCCCTTTGATCTTCAGATCGGATTGGATTAGAGTGTTACAAAAATACATGAGGAGCACGTGCAAAAAAGATAGGGTTTTGGGTCAACCATAAAACAAATGGGCCATGAAGGAGATCCAACTAACACCGAAGGCAATGGTGGGCCGCTGGCTGTGAAAGACCCAACAAGCTAAGCATCAACATCAAACCGTATGGAGTGACGTCCAGGCAATCCAGTACTAGCAACTGGGCAAATCCATTCTGTTAGAAGATGTCCAGCTGTCAAAATAAAACGATCAGTTAGTATAATAAGATATCCTAGCTATATATGTATTGTAATAGACAATATGAGTTTCTATGAATGAAGATCATTGAATTCCTTTATAATAAAGTTAAAATTCTCTCTTTTCCTTAAATCTTTTCTTCAATCTGTATGTTCGATCGTGACATCAAGTTTCATCCGACATCAAGCTCTTCAATCGTTGTAGCTTCCAGGAAGTTTAGGTACTTCCTTCTTTTGCCTCTCTGTTTATGTCTGCCTCTACGATTCTTTTCTATTTCTCTAGGTTTTGTTATATCTGAGATTTTATCTGAAATATTCCATTTTTGGTATGTTTACTTTCATTCTTTTCAAGTCAAGTGGATCTACAAAGACTGGAAAATTTTGATAAAGAGAAATTTGGTTTCATAGAAAATAGTTTATTTTTTTGGCTTAATATTATTTGCTTGATCATTTTTTATGGTTTTATCGATGGAATGAATTTTTGTTTTGAACTTGTCAATATGTGTTCAGTCTATCTTTTACTTATTTTTGTCGTCTGTGATGTTAAATGCAATTCAGATTGACAATTTATCTTCATAGTAAGAGTTTGTTTTCAGGGACGGACCCATAATTTTATATTAGGTGATGAATTTTATAAAATTTTTGAAGGTAAAAATATATTGTTAATAAAAAATAAAAAAAAATATCTCAAATATGTGAGAATTTAAAAAATTTTAGGCGGCCATATCTGCTTCTCTGTCTGTGTGTTAGATTGTCTTTCCAAGTGTCTTAAGACTCTTGGCTTGAAAGAATTAGGTTCCTCCACTTTACGTTCCATTTGATAATTACAATTTTTTAGCCTGTTGCTTGATATGAATGATTGATATATTTATTTTAGGTTAATGACATCCCCTCGAGTGACTATATCGGTGCTCAACCTTCCAAGCATGCAACCTATGTGCCACACACTGCCGGAAGATACTCGGTTAAGCGTTTCAGGAAGGCTCAGTGCCCGATCATCAAGAGGCTTACAAAATCGTTGATGATACATGGTCGAAACAACGTTAAGAAGCTTATGGCAGTCAGGATTGTGAAATATGCCATGGAAATTATTTATCTCCTCACTGATTAAAACCCTATTCAAGTCATTGTCGATGCGATTATCAACAGGTAGTAAGCCTAGAAGTTCTCAAGTTCAATCCTTCCTCTTTCAAATGTATCACCAGTTGATGTTAATTAATACATCTATTGATTCTGAGTTATGTTTATTAGATCGGTCTCTGTTAAGTGTTTTTTTTCCCGCTTTTGATGTAACAGTGGACCTTGTGAGGATGCTACTCGTATCGGTTCTCCCGGTGTTGTGAGGCGTCAAGCTGTTGATATTTTTCCTCTTCGTCGTGTGAATCAAGCCATCTATTTGCTTACCACCGGCCCTTCGGAGTCTGTATTCAGAAACATCTAGACCATGGCTGATTAACGCCTGAAAGGGATCATCCAACAGGTAAACAAGGGACTTTGAACTGTGATTTCGGTTTGAAACTATAAACCATATTTTCACGAGTCTTTTACGCTATCCTGGTTGGTCAGATTATCCAACAGGTAAATAAGGGACTTTTTTTCTCTCATGTTAATATAGGTTGTGCCTGTTTACCTTTGATTGACATATTTGACTTCATTATTGCTGCAATGCCTGATGTGGATGTTTTCAGCACATCAAATCTCGAAGCTAGAAATCAGTTGGTAGTTTTAGAAGGCTTAGGAATCTTTTCATTTAAAAAAAATAAGTTTAATGTAAAAATAATGGATCAAATTATACTTTAAGTTAATTATAAGTGTTTAAAGAATTTTTTTTTATCAAAATTAACTTGTTTTCAATTACATTTTTAAATATTTACATCGTGGCGACCATTAAAAAAATCTTTACATAACATGTGTCACATTTATATTTTTTAAATTTTAAAATTTTAAAAAAATTTATTAATTTTAAATTTTATTTTTTATATTAAAAAAATCTAAAACCCTAAAAATTATTCTTCAAATTCATATTTTCGTTATCGTTCATATTTTCGTTATCGTTGAACAGTCACCCAACTCTTTTATCTTTTACCCGATGATCAATAACCACTAAAAACAATAAAGACGTAAAACAAATAAAACAGAAGACACAAATAATCAAATGTTGTATGTTCATCGTTTGAACCGGAAGAAGGTGCTTGCTCCATTAATCTAGTAAAGTACGTCACAGGAGTAAACTAAGAACTATCAATACATTTTGACAAACATTTTGCTTACTATTCCGAAATGGTATTTACTCTAATGCAGGACTCCTCCCCGGTACCTTGGGCTATGTTTGACGTGACTTTTCAAATATATTTTTAGTTAAAAGTTCATTTTAACTGTAAAATTAATGTTAAACGAGTAAAATTAGAAGAATAAAATACGGTAAAAACGATGGTTTCAAACTAATCGTAAAAACTACAAATCCTAGCATTATTAAAATTGTTTTTAACTTTGTATTTGAAAATAAATATTAATTGTACTCTTATTAAGGTATGGGCTCAATTCAATTATCTAGTTATATTTTACTTTAATAATTTAATATTGACATCTTTAAAATATAATTTATTACTTAATAATTTATTTTAATTATTTAAAAATAAATATAATTTAAATTCTATTTTTTTAGTTTATAATATAACATATTTTATATTTTCAAATCCATTTTTTAACAATAATTTCAAACAGTTAAATTTTAAACAACACATTTAAAAATTATTTTCTACCACACTTTTAAAAATCACTTTTCAAAAGCTCCGTTAAACTGCCCTTAGTCTCTTCAATAATCTCAATACAATCTTTAATTAATAAAATTGCATAGTTTCATAATATAAGTTTAAATTAAACCCTCAATAATCATAAAATCATAATACAATCTTAGTTTCATCAATAATCTCATTACTTTTTTTCTTTTATCTTTTTTAAACTCTCCACATTCTGAATTATTGCCCTCATGTTAATATGTATGTGACCAGATAATATTTTTGGGTAAACTACAGGTTTAGTAACCCAAATATAACTTTTGTTCCGTTTCAGTCATTATACTTTTTTTAAATCATATTTAACATTTAATTTTAGTTTTATTTCGGCCATCCAAACTGCTGACGTGGCATTTTAATATATAATATTTAGTGTTTGCAACTAGTGAGCAGTCTTGTTCTTTCAGTTTGGTCTACAAATATGAATAAATCAATGAATTATGTGGAAGACGTGACATACAGTGATATTAGATGTAACCAGAAATCAAGAACTATAGAAGAAGACGAACTTCTAATTATTCATCTCATATGCAAAATAACTAGTGTTTTTCTTTATATCACTTTCATGGAACAAACAAGGAATAGATTAAACTACTTGATGGGTCTCTACACTACAGGCTTATGAGCAAATCAGTCTTTCTGCTATAAAAGTGAAGTAATTTGATCCCTTTTAAATTTAACATAAAAACAAGTAAACTTATAATCCATGGTGGAGTTGAATGTTAAATAATTGCATCGGTTGGCTAAACAAACAACAGCTCCCCTATGGTTTCATACATTTTAAACCTAGATTTCCATGATGCAGGAACAGATGACCATGGACAAAAGTAACATCTTGCAGGAGTCGTCGTGAATTCTGCCTCGATTCTCCACGGTGGTGATTGGAGAATGACTCACATCTTTATTGAATGATATTGATGATTATACCTTCTTGTGTTTCGCCCTCAGTTGTTGGCATCACTTTGAGGTTCATGCTTAGGAAGAGAAGACCTAGAGCCAGGTGATATCACTTCGGCACGAACTTTCCTAGCATGCTGCACAAGGACAACAATTTGTTTCATCATTTGATGTGTTGATGATAATGAATAGTTTTTCTGCATGAGTGTTTCTTTACACCTATGATTAACCAAACAATGCAAAGAGACGCATCAAAACAGACCTTCCTAGGGAGAGTGCACGATCGTGCAAAATGACCTTCCTCTCTGCACCTGTAGCATAAAGCAGGGGATTTCGAGCCCTGGACAACTTTGGAACACTTCGAGCAGTCCTAGTAGAATATCCACGATAAGATACAACAAATATGTTTCTTACACAGGCACAAACCAAACCATAAACTATAGGAAAGATTGGACTTACTGATCCAAAATGGCCAGACTGGCCGCAATTATAGCAGGAAGCTTCCGTTGGACTTGTATCTGGAAGTTTGACACAGCTAAGATGACCAAAATCTTTGCAAACGTAACATCGAATTTTCTGTTTACAACAGAATAATCATTCTGATTGTAAATTCTACTTGAATACGCAATCATTAGTTCCATAAAATAAAACCAGGTTGAAGAAAATAAAGCATTTGGCTCAAAAGATATATAGGAGTATGTGTCCTCCGCCTTCCCAAGAAGCCGGATTCAGATCCCCCTTCCCCATCAAAATGAAAACAAAATATAACGATAAATATTCATAGAGATAAAAAAAGGGTGATTCGTGAAAGCATAAAAAATAATGGAAAAGACCTTGAGATCATCAGCAGAATAATTACTCATACAAGAGAACATATCATGTCCCGAATCCCCACATCTTAAACAAATATTATGATTTTCTTCTTGTTTCTTTGGACAATCATGGGCTTGGCGGAAAGTTCCTCTGCAGACAAAGCAAAATTGGCCCTGCTGAAATATCAAGGTTGAATCCATTAAAAGTAAAGAAATCTCATAAAATGAACATCGTGTTCAATAAAAAAAAATGGGCATCAAAACAAAAGTAGAAGACAAAAGAAGTATGTTAATATACTAATGTAGTATTATCAATAGTGTTGTTTCAGTCACCCAAGATACTCTATCTCAGAAACCAACAATTAAAGTGTCAAGGATAATGTATCAACCAAAGATCTTATCAAAGAGAACCTATTATGCCAATTTGGGAAATGAGGATTTTGAAATTAAAATTGAGCCCAGTTAATCAAATTCGCCTGTTGTTTGATCAGGTCGAATAAATTCATCATTTTAGAGTTGTGACCTCTATGCATTATCAATTCTTAAAGAGGTTTGTGATGGCATTAGACAAAAGAGACGAAAAGATAGTACAATTCATTTAACCGATGTGGGAATTTCTAAGGTAAATGCTACTAAACCTGTAAGCAATGCTTTCCAATATGCCGATTATTCCTGCTTAGGAAAAATGCTTTCCCTCGCCTTTGCAACATACAGTTGGCTGCTGCTGGATTATTTTCTCCGTAATCGAGACACCTAGCCCAGTTGCCATTTGGAAGATCAAAATATCTTCGTTTCTGCTAGAAAAGTAACGCACAACCCAAGAACTAGTCATCACAAAGAAATCTTTCAAAGCTGCATTTTATTACAATTTCATGACACTAAATGTTTTAAAGCGGTATTTGTATACAGACACCAAACTCACAGGATGGCTCCGTAGCACAGTGTTCTTCACAGATGATTTTATGGTTTCTACACATTTATCTTTCTCTACATGCATTTCCTTTATTCCAGCATCAACCTAAAAGCACAGAAACCCCAAAATAAAAAATCATCTTGATAAATACAAAGCTCCAAGTTTTTCATCATTTTCAACCCTGAGAAGAGATTGATGCGTTCATGCTGAAGCAACTATTAGACTATAGAATTCTGTAATATTATGACCCATATCTACTTACAGTTTCTTCTGCTAAAACAGATTTTCGCTCACTTCTCACCATCTCACCATCAACACTTATTTTACCTCCTGCTGACACCATATCTCCAGTGCTTGTTCCAAAGAATATATTCGATATCAAACCTTCATCAACTGAAGACGAGGAACAAATATCAGTGACCTCCATAGAGCTAGCTTCATCACCATTTCCCTCAGTTCTACATGTTACTGCTTGTACAGTTTCTATCATCTTATTTTCCTTAACATCGGTATCAACCTGAAGCCCACAATACACCAAAGTTTTAACTAAAACCATACTAACCCATAAAGAATAATTTCATGAAGATTAAATAGATTCTTGAATTCTACATTCCAATCTGAAAAACATAAAAAGTAGGGGGAAATGAAGGAACTGAACTGACACCAAGCTTCTGTGGCACATTATGTAATATTTCATTGAAATCCCATTTTAAGGATGGGTCTAAAATACAACCGGTTGATATAAGGCTAAAAACCACATAAATCGGTTGTAACTGAAAAACTTACCAAGAGTGTAACTCTTTAGAGTAATCTGGCTAACATAACAAATCATGTAAATTCCGTAACTATTCAGGTTGTAACCTAAAAGGATACCGTCAAGGCATTCTCGGTTATAACTGAAATTGTTATTAATTGTGTAACTTTTTAAGACTAAACGGGTAACATTTTAGGTTAAAACCACCGCAAATTAGCCTTAGATTAAGCAGCGGAACAGCAGAACTACCCCCATTTTAATACTGCCACTGTTCTTACAGGTTCATCTTTGCCTGAGTTAATTGCAGACTGTCCAGAATCCACCTAAGTTCATCATATGCATAGAACCGAAAGCCAAACAATCCTTAAAAAGAAAAGGCGGAAAGAAAAAGAAACAAGAAAGAAAAACCTGGCTTCAATTACAAAACCTACAAATTCAACTAGAAACAAAACAAGCTAAAATCTATTTTCACTTACCATAAATTTTCTTTCTTTTTGAAAACCCAATTTTAAAAGATCAACAGGCACAAATCTCTAAGCTTAGGGAGAGAAAAGAAGAAGAAGAGAAACCCACTTACAGGAACTGAGTGGTGAGCATGGTACTGAGACTCATTGTTGTACAGTCTTTTTCTGTATCTTCTTCTTCTCTTTCTTTTCACCGTGGCTTCTCCTTCCACCATACCTATCAACCTATGAAATCAATTCATGTTCGTCAGATTTGGATCCCCATTCACTGCCTTCAATTCTTTCTCCGTGATGAGATGGTTTAATTAGGTCTCCCGAGTTGGGTTTTTCACTTAAAGAAAACTGCAAACAAATGGACGTCTAATTGGTAAAATTTTTATGTTTTTCTTTCCTTTCAACTTCCCTTTTCTCTTACAGTTGCAGTATCTAGATGTATTCTGAGAATCCGCTGTTAAATCTTATGCTTGAATTGGTTTGGGTAAACTAAACGTTTAGTATTTAATTTTGGTACATAAATTTTATCTTTTTAAAAATTATATTTCATGTTTAGTTTATGTTTTAATTTGATACACACCATTAAAAATTAACAAAATATTAACAACTTGAGACATTTTTATTTTTTTCAATTAAGACGTGGCATTAACTTTTGATGACGCGTTAATATCACTGTTAAATCTTTAACAGTGAGTGTCAAATTGAAATCTAAACAAATGTTAGGTATGATTTTGAGAAAAATATAATTTGGATACCAGAACATAATAAAAGAATAGTTAAAGTACTAAAATATAATTTACCCAAACTTATTTTATCCCTGTACTAGAGGAGAAATTTCAGTTTTGCTCTTTTGTTATTGAATTTAACCTTTATACCCTTTGGTAAAAACGGTTAAAAAGTCATACTTATTAAAATAACTAAATAATTAAAATCTTAAAAAATATTTATTAAAATCCGAAATTTATTTCTTTAAAACTATACAATTATGTTCAATTTCGTTTTAAAAATATATATGCTAAGGTTTATTGTTGTCTTGAAGGCTCCAGTTTGACTCTTTTTCCTCTAAAAAGGGAAATAATGGACTAATGGATTTAGAGGCAGAATTTATGCTTCTCGTTTTCTCTTGTTATTTTGAGTTTCTTTCTCTCTTTACCTAAGAAAATTTGTAGATTTTCTTACCTAAAATGTCCAAGGAGAACACTGTTGGTGGAAAGTAATTGTGGAAGTACAAATAGAATGACAAATTGTTTAAATTTGGTTGGAATATTGTCTAAAGTATTAACTCGGTTATAGACTGTGCCTTTACTATAATAGATTAATAAAAAAATGTATATACTCAAATAACTGAACGAGCTGATCAATAATAATAAGGGCCCGTTGACCCAAATCATTGAGATAAACTTTTAGCACTAAATGATATATTCTTACTATAGGATAAAGGTTTACTGAATAAGATATCCAGAAGATTTGATCTTGATCTTTAACAATTACTACAAGAGGTCAATGGTGTATCTAAAGGAACTTGTGCTATGGAGATTTGTAGGTCGTGCTCTATTACAGATGGAGATAAAAAAAAATTGGATGTCACTTGTTCCCATATGTAATGAGGTAAAGGGAGGTAAGATAGTAGACTGCCCCCAACACCAGGTTGAGAGCAACTTTCGTAGAAGAACTCCGAATTATGAAATACCCTTCTTGGGACTCGATCTCACGACCTCAAGGTTAATAACCTTGTGCTCTACCAACTGAGATGGAGATGTCTCCCCTAAAAACTTTAAATTATCATATAATTTAGTTGTTTATTTTGTATTTCTTATTGATAATATATTTTAGCATATTAAAATTTTATATGTTCGTCTCTCTTAAAATTTTATAAATCTTTGTGAGAGTGATTACAATTAACTTAGAGAAAGGTTGGATTTAAAACCTACGTCTCTTGTGATATTGATTTATAATGAATTAACCTCATAACAAAGTTTCACGTACATGATTCAATTTGTACAGCGTAAACAAATTTTTGGTGTTTTTTTATTAATTTGGTGTAAGTAAAATGCAATATATGTTTAAAGATAAGTCTCAACTATTTACATTGAACGTTTACACCCTTGACATTCATGGTGCTCAAATTCGAGACCTCAAAAAATAATAACAATTTATTTATCAATGAGGTCGCTCGATTCGTGCAAACAATACCAGAAAGTAAAATTGCTCTCCGGAGCTTCTTAAGAAGTCTTAATTAAATAAATCACTCAAGCCACTTCGATCTGTGGTATGTACTGCTTTCTTTTTCCAAGTACTCTCTCGAATGAACTAAACCAGATAATGATAACTTTTTGGTGGGGGGAAATGAGATAGTAAGGTGAATTTTCACTAAGCTTAGTTGGGGTAAGTTATGCAAATCAAAATACAAGGCTGAAGAGCAGGGGCATTTCGGGAATCAAAGGCTTTAATGTTATCACTTGTCATGCTGGCTAAATAAGAGTATGTCATACGAGTGTTGGCACGACAGGGTGTTGACACAAAATATGTTGACTCATCACTGCAGATATCAATGATTCTTCACACTAATAAAAACACATCTTAGGAAGGGAGGATCGCATGGAGGAAGATTGCTAGGGAAATCTTGTAGCACATTGTTGTTAATGCAGAGTTAGGCTTCTTAGCTTTTGCAGTATAATAACTGAAGACACTAGTTTTTGTCCACTCGTTTTTATTATTCTATTATTATTATTATTATTATTATTATTATTATTATTATTATATTATTATTATTATTATTATTATTAATAAAATATTATTACATTTCAGACCATTTACAACCCAGTGGTCCAACTGGAATCAACCTAAGACCCGGAGGCCCAACAGAATCCCAACCTGAGCCAGCCCACTGGAAACCCTAAACCCAACAAGGGTTTCATCATCTCAGCCTCGGCCGCCAACGATCTCAGCCGTTGGATCTGAGAGATCCAACGGTCCACAGATACTTCTAGATGAAAACCCTAGGATATGATAACCTAGGGCCACGTCGCCGCTTGGAAGATTCCAGCCGCCCCACGTTTACACACTGTCGAAAATCCACTGCCAGATAGCCGCCGCCTCTGCGACCGACACTACAGTGCCACGCCACCTCGCCGTCGAAGCCTCTAGAAGAGCCAGGTGCCCCCCACGTCGCAGCTAGAAGGTGAGTCACCACATAGTTCGGTGACTCACCAAACTTCACCCATGGGACTGGTCCGAGAGCCACACCAGTGAAGGCTATAAAGCCTCGACTTACCTGTAAACAAAAAAGAGGAGCAAGAACCAGAAGAGAAACAACACACAGCAACGAAAAACGATAGAAAAAAGAGAGAACAAGGAGAGCAACCCAGCAAGTAATATAGCAACAGAGAGCAATGCAGCAACCATTCGAAAAAAGAAAATAAAAGAGAAGAGAGAGCTTACTTTGTCATCGGAGGCATTCGAAACATCGTCGGAAACCTTCGGACTTCGAAGGTAAAATCCTAGATATAGGAAATTCTAAGGGATTTTAGGATGAATAGAGGTCGTATTCGGCCTTAGGAAGTGGAGATCTACGGTTTGGGCTAATTTTCCAAACTCTGGCCACCGCGGTGGCCGGCAATGGTGGTCGACGGCGAGTAAGGCTGCCGGTCGGTGGTCGGCCAACCTCCGACGGGAAGTTTGTAGAGAGAAGGGAGAGAGCCTTATAATCTCTCTCGTCTAGAGAGAGAGAGAAGAAAACATAATGAGAAGCTTTGGCCCCTAAGGGCCGATTTTAGGCTTTTTATACTCTCATCAAAACGACGCCGTTTTGATGAAGGATCTGTGAGTAATAAGGGAATGGGTAAACCGTTTCCGCAGTCATTCTGAGTTTTGAAATTTTACAATTTGGTCACTGAAATCAAATCCTAAACCTTTAATTCGGTCTTATAGTTTTATTTACTTTATAATTTAGTACTTGATATGCTTTTATATATTTTAAGGTAAATATCCTATTTAGTCCCTTAGACTTTAATAATTCATATTTTGATCACCGATTAAATAATTAAGGGATAATTACACTACTAGTATTTATATTTTATGATAATTCTAATTATGTCTATTAATTGCTTATATTTTATAATTTGATCATTAAGTTATATATAATTTTAATTTTAACCATAAGTTTTATTATTTTTACATTTTAAGCTTATATATTTATGAATATGATCCTATAGTTTTTAATTTCTTTTTTTATTATTTATTTACAATTTTATTTTTGTTTTTGATATGTTTAAATTATTACTTTAATTATTATTTTATATAAATATATATATGTATTGGTTTAAATAATAATATTTATTTATTTTTTAATATTAAAGAAATAGGTTGTCTTAAAGCACCTAGAAGTCTATTTCTGATATTCTTAAATAAATAAATATCTTATTTTTTTTATAAATTATATATATTAATTTATTTTAATTATTTTTATAGAAATGTTTTATTAATATTTATTTATTTTTTAATATTAAGAAATGGGTTGTCTTAAAGCACCTAAAAGTCATTTTCCGATATTTCTAAGTAAATAAATATCTTTTTTATAAAAATAAAAAAATATATATATTAATATATTTTCTTAAAATTATATTAATAAATTTGAAATAAAAGGATTATAAATTAAATATATTTTTAAATTTTTAAATTTCCAATAATAGAGACAATTTATAATTAATGATTATCAATTTTGGGCATTGTGGGGTGCTAATCCTTCCCCAAACGTAATCGACCACGAATCCCTTTTTATTATTAAAAAGAACGAATTTTTGGTTAAAATGTATATCAGTTTATCTTTTAACTAATGTTTTCTTAAAAACTCTTTTAAAAGATAATTGTTAGGTATTCGACCTACTTGACCCAAAAGGCCGATGGCGACTCCCAAAACATTTTAAAAACTATTTATTCACATCATTTTTCCTGCTAAATAAAAAATTCGTCCCCGGGCGAAAACCGGTTACGACATCTTGGCGACTCCGCTGGGGACCTGGTCAAGCTTTAAAATCACTTATAAATTGTTTCTATTAATTAGAAATTAAAAATTCATATATTTAATTTATAATTCTTTCTTTTCATAATTTTTATATATACTTATTATTTTCATAATATTTATATATATTATTTTTATTAATGTTTTATTTTCAAGTATTAAATTTTATTATTTATTTGTTTGTCAGAGGTTTGAAACTTTCTCCTCACACATAACACGTATACATTGCATAACATAAGCTTTATAATCAAGCTTGTCCCTTTTAAGTGGGAGTGAAAGCGACGTCTTCGTGAGAATTTATTCATCGTGTTGGACCTAGCAAGTAGCTTTCAGGGTTTATATGCTCTATGTCTTCGTGAAAATTTATTCTTCGTGTCAGGCATAGAGAAATGTGTC